GCTTCCCTGGCAAGCCCAAGGGTCTGAGTTCAATCCCCGGTTCAGGGGTCGGGGGAGGAAATATATATATCCACAAGCACCATAACAGTAATAATGGTAGCCATTTCTTTCCCAGAACTGGGTAACAGAGGCCTTTGGGATTGGCTATCTTCAAAACATACCCGCATGAGTTTTCTTTAGTAATAAAACTCCACCTTTGCAGCCTTGCAGTGTGGGTGAGTTCCATGGCCATGTCTTCCTGCAGGCTTGCGAGGGTGTTCTGAGATGGTTTGAGACCTTGCTCTGTTGCCTCTGTAAAGCATGGTTGTAGATATTGCAGTCCCTTTCCCTTCCCAAGTCAGTAAATCCTACTGTTATTTCATGTGCTGGCCACTGCAGCGGAGATACGGGGATCAGGAGCCAGGTTCATAACAGCTTTATTACCGCAGAAGTAAAACCCAGGCTCTTAGAGTGGGGAAGCTGGGTAGTGACTGCAGTTGCTGCAAGGTGCTGGGCACAGCTGGCCTTTGGCCCCACTAGAAATGATATGTGCCCTAGCTCTGGAGAGTGTACTGATTTCTGCACCATTCACGACCTGCCATTTTGTCTGCAAAAGCCTTAGAATGTTAGAGTTAGAAGTGGCCTGGAAGAGCTGGGTATGGTGGTGCATGCCTGTAATCTCAACACTCGGGCTGAGGCAGGAGGATTGCTGTGAGTTCCAGGCCAGCCTGGACTGCGGAGCGAGACCTTGTCTCAAAAAAAAAAAAAAGGGCTGGGGAATATAGCTCAGTGGCAGAAATACCTGTCTGGCAGGTGCAAGGTTCTGAGTTTGATTCACACACACACATACACACACACACACACAAGAAAAGAAAAGGCCTGGAAGAACATCAGGTGAGAAGTGGGCTCTGAGCCGCCCTGGTTCCCACCTGCTGTGTCGTAGGCTGGGCTCCTTGCCCATCACCTACAGGGAACATTGCAGGTGACTTGAGCTGTGCGGTTCTTGATCTGGAGGACTAGAGAAAGGAGAGTGCATACTTTTCTTTTACCTGTGTTGCATTTTGGTTTTCATTTCTATTCAGTTTCATATTAAATGGATGTTCCCTTACACATCCATAAAGTCAGGGAGGAGAAAGAGTATGGAAGAATGGGATGCGATATCTTTGTATTACGGAGATAGGTGACAAGGAGATAGTGAGGAAGTGTTGTATTGTGCTACCTTTTTACTTCTGGATTTCGAGCCATTTACACTTGATATCTATTGAAAGGTTAAGTGCATAGAATTCATAAAGAAGACGCATTTATCTGCATGACTGTCCACTGTTCGATGCCAACCTCAGTATTAGGTTATTGCAATCATTTTGTTAGCTTTGCAATGAT